ATGTAGACTAAAACTTTTGTTAATAACTCTATGTAATCTCAGCTCCAATGGTAAAACTTCACTAGGGGTTATTAAGAAAATATTTTAATTATTTTGTTAAATTAATTATAATACTCAAGAATCAAGAAAAGCTATGGAAAATCTCAAAACCAAGAGCCAAAGAAATTACTTTACTCTGCTAAACAATGCCAGAAAAATCACCAATAATGTTAGTATTGGAGACAATTATACTAAAGAAACTTCACAAGAACTTTACTGCAGCGAGAGGATAACTTTCAGACTTAGAGGAAGATATGTCTACCACAAATCAAAATGGTGCATCTACGTTTGGTGAGTGTCCGGCAGAATCTGATAAATTCTTGCAATTTTTTCTCTTCAACTTATGTTCATCTTGAGAGTCAAACTTCCAAATCATGGTAGGGACAGGTTGAGAAGGTACAGACACCCCTTGAAGGTTACCAATAGGCACTATAGGAGCACTTACAGAAGCGGAGGTCCCTTATTGTTCACCGGGTTCCGCATTCAGATCAATCACAGCTTTTCTCCGTCAGCTGAAACAAGAACAAAATATAGATAAAGTCAGATATTTTACATGCAATAAACTAAGTCTCACTGCTTAAACTGTTTACAATTCAATTCACCAACTATATTCTTACAATTAAACCCAAGTTGCAGAAAACAGATATAGCTGTCAAATAGCTTCTTATTCCTCTCTTCCACTCCCATGTCAAATAACCATTACTGTGTCATTATGATCAGTGAAGAAACAATCTTAAAATGGGCAATCCTAGCTGAAAATCATGAAAACAAGATGATACAGGAATACTCGTATCGGTTCTATTTACTTATATCTTCTATTTCAAATAAATGGTTAAAACAATGCTGGTTTAATGTTCTGGTTTAGTATCGGTTTAGTCTTTTGATTTTATCCTTTAGCAGTCACGTGTAGATTGTGTGGTGTCATCACTTTATGTACTGGCTATGGCCGTTGGGAAAATGCTAATCGAATATTTGTCTCTCCAACCTTTTACTCTCTCTCTCTCTTACTTTCCATCAATCATCATCCACCGAGTCAGGTGCTCCGAGTTGACCCATTCTCTCTTTAGAGGTCAGCTTCTAGCCCATGATTCTCCTTCCTCCGAGTTCTAGGTGAACTTCTAGGTTGGGTTATCCGTTATATTGATTTTACTGTTTCATTGGTATCAGAGCTTCGACCTCGGACTCATGGGGAACGCCACCGGAAACCAAATTACAGAAACGACTAGTGATGGAGAAGCAAGCTACCGAGAAACTCACCACAAACGAGCCGATCGTGGACCCTCGCTCTCTACAGGAAAAGCAGCTTGCCGATCAACAACTTTGGACTGACACACTTGAAGCTCGGTTCAGCAAGCTAGAGATGCAGATTCTCACCCATTTCTCTCATCAAGCTGGAGCTCCTCCCCAGCGCGATCACACTCTAGTTTCTAGCTAGTCTCAGCTCAATAAATCCAGCTGAATGTCACCCCCTGTTGGAGTCAACTCATCGGAGATGGTCCAATTACCAGATCCGCCGGATCTGAGTGGGGTTGACCGTAACTCTACCGGAAAAACTGTGTTGCCTCCTGTTGGAGTCTCTTCCTACGAGATGCTCCAGTCACCAGATCCAAGGGGTTTGAGTGGGGTTAAAAACACAACCGGTACCAATTACGCGATGGATGGATCGTCTCGCCTGCCTAACATACTCTCATCTCGATTCACCAATGTTGGTTTTCCCATTTTTGATGGTGCTCGTTTACGTGAATGGATAGATCGATGTGAGCAGTTCTTCAGCTTAGATGGGACACCGCCTGAGCTTAAGGTTCGTCTTGTCTCGGTGCACCTCGAGAGCAAATCTTGGCAGTGGCACAATAACTACATGTTTACCAGGTTCGGTGTATTTCTTTCTTGGACTGATTATGTAACTGCTATCTCCAAACGATTTAGTGCTCTGCTCAATGATCCACTAGCTGATTTGGTAGCGCTTAAGCAAGGCGATGATCGGGTTGAGGTCTATTTGGAAAAGTTTGAAACAACCTCTTCCGGTATCCCTTTGTCCGATGCTCATGCTTTGAGCATATTGCTTTCTAACATGGCGCCTCATCTTTCTTTACACACCTGACAGTTTACGGTTTGCAATGTTTCTGAGGCAGCTCGAATCGCTCAATTACATGAATCTGCTCTTCTCTGCACTCCGGTGAAATATACGAGATCTCCCTTCAATCCACAGAACCAGCAAAAATACCAGTATTCACAGCCTTACAAGAGCACCTCCACTACGCCTCTGTTACCAGCCCCTAAGGCTTCGAATCTACTGACGTATAAGCCCACTCCGACTAAATCTCAGCCTGGAACCACTCCCGGCCATCACCTGAAGCACCAGAGAGCACAGATCTCTATGATGGAGGGTGATGACGATGAGTTCTCTGATGATGAAGATGATTCCCCGGCTGAGGTACATGTGGAAGAAGCTGTGGAGTCTGATGACAAGTCTTCTATAATCTCTGTTCACACGTTAAGTGGTGCCTCCCCCTTCAACTGCATGCGTGTAGTTATTCAGCAAGGGAAGATGAAGATCTTCATCCTCGTAGACCCTGGTAGATTTCTTGGATATTGCGATAGCCTAGGAGTTAGGCTGCCTTCTGGAGCAGATCAAACCTATGACTGTATCAGCTGCTAACGGTAACAAGCTCCTCACAAGTATCAAATGCTCTGACTTTACTTGGGATGTACAGCGATATTCTTTCACTACCGAAGTGCGTACTTTGCCTCTCGACTGTTGTGATTTGGTCCTTGGAGTTCAGTGGCTGTGCACACTAGGACCCATTCTCTGGGACTTTCTAAATCTCCGAATGGAGTTCACTTTTAATGGGATCTGACACAAGTTGAGGGGTGTCACTAAATCAGGCATCAAGGTTGTAAAGGGGAGTTGCTTGAATAAACTACTGCTGCAAGAGCCACAGATCGCGATGCTCCAGGTCAGGGAAGTTACTGCAGATCCAGACATTCCTCCTCTAACTCCCGAAACCATGTTTTCTCACCTTTCAGCTAGTGGTGTTGATCCGGTTCACGATAATGATCTTCAGCCTTTGCTCACTGAGTACAACGATCTCTTCGAAGAGCCGACTACTCTTCCTCCCTTTCGAACTGGCTTTGATCATCGTATACCTTTGGAGGTGGAATGTAATCAGGTCAGTCAACGCCCATACAGGTCTTCCTCGTTGCAGAAAGACATCATCGACAAGATGGTCCGCGAGATGCTGGAACAGGGCATCATACAGTACAGTACCAGTCCATTTGCATCCCTAGTGGTCCTGGTGAAGAAGAAAGACGGCTCCTGGAGACTCTGAAGAGGAATACTCGTATCGGTTCTATTTACTTCTATCTTCTATTTCAAATAAATGGTTAAAACAATGCTGGTTTAATGTTCTGGTTTAGTATCGGTTTAGTCTGTTGATTTTATCCTTTAGCAGTCACGTGTAGATTGTGTGGTGTCATCACTTTATGTACTGGCTACGGCCGTTGGGAAAAAGCTAATCGAATATTTGTTTCTCCAACCTTTTACTCTCTCTCTCTCTCTCTTACTTTCCATCAATCATCATCCACCGAGTCAGGTGCTCCGAGTTGACCCATTCTCTCTTTAGAGGTCAGCTTCTAGCCCATGATTCTCCTTCCTCCGAATTCTAGGTGAACTTCTAGGTTGGGTTATCCGTTATACTGATTTTAATGTTTCACAAGATTGCAAATAACCACACCGGTACACACTTGTTCATGTTCCTGATTCACATAAGTCGATGAATCGTTGCTTTGCCTTCTAAAGCTACAGGCTTGATGTGTTTTTTGCTGCAAAACTCCACTATGAGATGGTCCTAAATCGAACTGTGCTGATCCAATGCTGCTTCTATAGACTTGAGGAAAGTTTCCACTAAATGAATTGAATTGAGTTCCAATGTTACATACTTGTTCTTGCTCTGCCTACAGATTCACACCAGATGACCCAAATCCGGAAAGCGGCTTTCCTGATCTGTCTGTATAAGTGCGTAAGGACCTTTAGCTCCATCGCTGCAGATTCAAGAGTAAAATCTCCATCAATGAAAAGAGAGAACTTTCAGGTATTCAAAATCAATACTTCAAGAAACCCAACATTTGATTTTAGGTTTTGCCAATGTGTATTGCGATTGAAATTGTGAAATTGGATTGAAATTTGGAGATTTTTAAGAAACCCAGATATTCAAAGGTAGAACACATAACAATGGAGCAATCAAATTTGAGAAGCAAAAGAACAGGAAGGAGAATGAATAGAGGAGAAATCGAAGGAACCTTTGATCGAAGCAAAGTGAAGCGAGAAAATATCGTCGTCTTCGAATGATGGATACATCAAAGAGTGAATGAAGAATTGAGAATCTGCTAATCGTTTAAGAGGGACGCCAATGGAAGATTGGAAATTTTGATCGGAGAATAAGATAAAAGAAAGAAAGAAGAAAATTATTCTGTCCACTCACCACATGACACATAAACCTTGAAAATCGGCTCTAAGAGTTGGTTCTTAGATAAAATATGAATTTAAATTTAATTTAGTTATAAAAATAGGTAAGAATCCCTTCTAAAATACTGCTGTGATAAGCATGCCCGACCCGGATATATCCCTTCAAAAATCGTAGATGTCGATTTGAAGCTCTACTTCTCTTCAAAAATCGTAGATATCTTTTACAAAAAAAATAATAAATCATAGATGTCTTTTAGAATATCTCGTGACTCGTGAGTTGCAACAAATAAGAGAATTTAGATATTTGAATGGTTAAAGATAAAAAAATTAAAACACTTTTTTAATTTATAATTTAATTATACAATTAAAATATAGTAAAAGTAATGTTATATTTATAAAATATTATTTTACACTTATGAGATTTCTGTCTGATTTTTAAATTTCTAAAAGTATTTTATTCAGAAGTTATTAAATAAAATAAAAAGCTAAAGAAATGGTTCGAATTATAATAACAACAATTTATGCTTGAATAGTTGAATATTAATTGAACTCTCTCTCTCTTCTCTCACACCTATCTTTCAGAGAGAGAGGCGATCTCCGGTTTCATCCCAAAATTGGAATTTTCTTCGACTTAGTCCAATTTTTTTGTTGTAAATATTCCGACTATGATTGGATTACTCTTCTGAGTTCATCGAACCATAAATTTCCGACCTGGTTCGGATTATGTTATGTCTTAACTCCTCTGCTATTTGGTTTCTCTTGTAGAAGAGTCGGTGCTTTTCAGATCTTGTGATTAACGGTTGGGTTCTTCTTCTTTCATTTGTAGTATCATCTTCTCTCGGCTGGGAGTTTAGATCTCCCCAGGTCTCCTATCATGAGCCTTGCAAGGCAAAAGGTGACAGGTCTTGAGTTCTGATGATCGGTGATGGTGATGGATCTATATAGAAGTAGAATTTCTGATTAAAGATTTCACAAAATTTAATCGGAGGAGAAAGTAAAGGTGAAGAAGCGTCAGGTTTGAGCAGTATCGTGACGATCAGTATGATCGATGGTGGATGCGAATGGTGGTGGATCTCGCCGGCGAAGATGAACGGCGCTGCAACGCAATTTTCTTATCCTCACATCTGTATTCTAATTCGTGTATAGTTACACGTGTTATAACACGTGTTAGGAGATTATAAAAGATTTTCATTAGGTTTATTTTTATTTTTGTATTGGGCCTTTTATTTTGTTTGCGTTATAATACTTTTATTTTTATGGGCTTTTCAATATAAAATGATAGACGACAAAAAAAAAATAGTGTTATAAACAAATGGACTTCTAGTAACCGGTCCATTAACCATCAGGTTAATGTCTCATGATCCATTAGGGTTTCTGATACATTAGTTATGTAATGTATATATACACTGCTTATGGAAATAATAAGAAGAGAGTTTTTCCCTTAATACGTTATCAGCACGAAGCTCAACTTCAAACGATCATATCTCTCAAAATACAAGGAGTTATAAGGCGATCTACATATCATTTTGAAGCCCTGGAAGAGAAGAATCTAGTGGTGAAAACCGTTCCTCAATCCGACACCAGACGCGCCCTCAAGACTCAAAATAATCGGCGCTGTCCCACCTTAGCGGGTGATTCTTTCCAAGCGGTGGTTCCTCCATTGTAGCAGCTGTTCGTCTTCCCTTCTGGCCATCATTCTCAGGAGTTTCCAGTAGATATCTGTGGTCTTTAGCTCCCAGATCATAAGCCGGTCAGAAATTCATTTGGCGAAAAGCATCATCTAAACCAAACACTAAAATTCCTTGCAAACCGAAACCTAAATCTTTGCAAAACCCTAGATCTAAAATCGTTTTGGTTTGTCTATCGTTAAACCGAGATCGATCGGTTTAAATCCTAAACCGATCGGTTATTTATTTTAGATCCGATCCTTGAAAACCCTAAAACCGGTCCATGCAAGCTCCTAAATCCTAAACCAATCGACCCCTTAAACTCTAAACTAATCGATCCACCTAAACCGTTTATAAACCGATAAATTCTAATCCTAAATCGATAGGGTTTAAGTTTAAACCGATCGGTTTTTCCTAATAAAAATTAAACCCTAGCAAATCCGTTTAGTTTAATCCCTTAACCGATTAATAACCCTAATAACCGGTTTCCAAAATTAAATCTAATTTAACCGGTTTTGTTGTTTAATCGATCAATCCGATCGGTTTAAGCTTAATCGGTTAATTTCAAATTAGTTTCCAAAATCAATCTAAAAAAAAAAAAAAAAAAAACCCTAAATTTATCTATTAGAGCTAAATTTGGAAACCCTAGTAAACCGGCTAGGTTATAAACCCTAAGGTTTGATTTTAGAATTCCCTTATATAGCAAGTTTCCTAAAATAGCAAGTTTCCTGAAATGGAAAGTTTTCCCAAGAATACCTTAAATCCTTTATTCCAATGACCATAGTCTCATACTATTGATTATTTAACATAAATTATTATATGTTTCAGATGTCAAACATTCAGAAGGTCGAATATGAGGCACTCACTGTCTCCGGAGATAACTACCTCAAATGGGCCCTTGACACCAAGATCTACCTCAACTCAAAAAGTCTGGGTGAATGCATCAAAGATCCCAACACCGCGACTCAAACAGAACGGTACTCGGCGATATTTATTATCCGCCATCACGTCGCTGAGTCTCTCAAGCAACAATACCTCACTCTTGAGGATCCACTCGAACTTTGGGTGGCACTGAAAAAGCGATATGACCATCAGAAAACGGTCATACTGCCCCAAGCCAAGTTCGACTGGAAGAACCTACGGTTCGAAGATTTCAAATCCGTCGAAGAATTCAATTCCGAACTCTTTCGGATAGTTGCACTCATAAAACTATGTGGCGAGGAGGTCACTGATAAGGATATGCTAGAGAAAACATTCTCTACTTTTGGCACTCCCAATGTTGTTCTCCAACAACAATACCGTGCCATGAATCATAGCACCTATGAGGATTTGATATCTTGCTTACTGCTTGCTGAGAAAAACAATCAGCTTCTGTTGAGGAACAGTGCCATGCGGCCTCCAGGATCAGCCCCATTGCCAGAAAGAACCAGAAAAGAGTCCAACTTCGTCCAACGTAATAGATCCTCAGATCGTGGACGTGGACGTGGAAATGGACATGGACTGCGCGGCAGAGGACGCGGTAGACCGAACCAAGAAAACCGACCTAACCTCAGTTTTGGTCGGGGTAAGGGTCGTGGTATCAACAAACCGACCCAAAGAGGCAGTTCATCTAGACCAACTCCTTGCTCAAGATGCGGAATGACTAATCATTGGGTCAAGATCTGCTGTACTCCCAAATATCTTGCTGAGCTCTACCAGAAGTATGGGAAAGATAATCATGAGGCTAACCTGGTTCATCAAGCCAATGAAGATGACTCAAAGGATGATAAGATTGATGGCATGGATTATGAGCTCTCCGACCTCCTTGATTGATCTCAAAAATCTGAATTTGTTTTTCATTACTCCTTAAACTTTTATCTTTTGTTTTTGGGATTTATTGTCTTTACTTTGGATTTTTAAGACCTTTTGCTTTTACATTTTAATTTATGGAGTAATGTTTTATTTACATCTCATTTTTGCATGTTATTGAATTATAATTCCTGTTTAATGAAGATATGCAAGACAATATGGATATCATTGTGGATAGTGGATCGAGCCACACCATTCTAAAAGACAAGAATTACTTCATAAATTTAGTAATCAAAACCGCAAACATTAGCACTATAGCGGGTAGTTCGAGCCTAATAGAGGGCCATGGCCAAGCTAATGTGTTGTTATTAAATGGCACATATCTAGACATCTCTGATGCCTTATACTCACCCAGTTCTAAGAAAAACCTATTGAGTTTCAAAGACATAAGATTGAATGGTTTCCATATCGAAACTCAGGATGAAGGGAACAAAGAGTTTTTAATTATCACTAAAATGATAAATGGCCATAAACAAGTTTTTGAAACTATACCCGCCGTATCTACTGGCATTTACCATGCTAAAGTCAGTATAATTGAGGCTAATGCTGCTATCAAAGCACGGTTTTTAGATTACACTATTTGGCATGATCGCCTGGGTCATCCCGGTGCGAACATGATGCGTAAATTAGTCCAGAATTCTAAAGGGCACAGCCTTAAACCAAATGGTATTTTCCCTCAGCACCTCAAAGTGCACAGCTTGCTCACAAGGGAAACTGATTACCCGACCTTCACCAGTCAAAGTGTCTAAAGAGAATTTGAACTTTCTGGAAAGAATCCAAGGAGACAATGTGGACCAATTCACCCACCTTGTGGGACATTCAGATATTTCATGGTCCTCATTGACGCATCGACCCGTTGGTCGCATGTCTGTCTGCTCTCTTCTAGGAACCAGGCTTTTGCTAGGTTATTGGCCCAAATCATCAGATTACGAGCCCATTTTCCAGACTTCCTATTAAAGACTATACGTCTTGATAATGCTGGTGAATTCACTTCCCAAGCGTTTAATGAATATTGTATGTCCATGGGGGTAAGTGTTGAACATCCTGTTCCACATGTCCATACACAAAATGGATTAGCTGAATCCTTCATTAAACGAATTCAATGGGTTGCTAGACCATTACTCATGAGGTCACAACTCCCGGTCTCAGCTTGGGGACACGCAGTCTTACATGCCGCTGAACTAATACGCATACGACCATCTAGTGAGCACAAATATTCACCATCCCAATTGCTAACGGGTCATGAGCCAGACGTCTCCCATATTAAAACATTTGGGTGTTCAGTCTATGTACCCATTGCACCACCACAGAGGACTAAAATGGGACCTCAAAGGAGGATGGGAATATATGTTGGTTTTGATTCTCCCACCATCATAAAATATCTCGAGCCAACTACAGGAGATCTGTTTAAAGCCAGATATGCAGATTGCCGATTTGATGAATCGGTATATCCTAGATTAGGTGGTGAGACAGACAAGCTGGTAAAAGAACTTTCATGGAATCAAACATCCACACAATGGCAAGATCCTCGGACTCTAGAATGTGATTCAGAGGTCCAAAGAATTATACATTTACAAAAGCTAGCTAATCAATTGCCAGATTCCTTTGCTGACCCGAACAAAGTTACCAAATCGTACATACCAGCTTGTAATGCACCAGTACGAATAGATGTCCCCTCAGGGAAAAGTCAAGTTGCTACAGAGTCTGACGCACATAAGAAACATGGCAGACCACCAGGTTCCAAAGATAAGAATCCCCGGAAATCAAAGAAAGGTGCAATGATTGAAACCGGGATTCAAGAGAACACGGATACAGCCTCAGCTGATACTTACCCTATCGAACCATCTCAAGAGGTTTGGGACGCCAAAACTCAAGGGTCTGAAGGGATTGATAATAATGAGATCTCAATCAATTATATCATATTCGGTTCTCTATGGAACAGAAAAGATGTCGACATCAATGAAACTTTTGCATACAAGGTAGCACTTGGGATTGCGCACACGCAAGAGGATCTAGAACCCACGTCTATAATTGAGTGCACTCGTAGATCAGATTGGCTGAAATGGAAAGAAGCCATAAACGTGGAGTTGAATAGTTTAAAGAAACGGAATGTGTTTGGTCCGATCTTAAGGACACCATTCGATGTTAAACCAGTGGGAAACAAATGGGTCTTTGTGCGTAAAAGAAACGAACTCGGCGAAGTCGTTAGATACAAGGCACGCCTTGTAGCGCAAGGATTCTCACAGAGACCCAGAATCGATTATGAGGAGACTTATTCTCCAGTGGTGGATGCAACTACATTTCGATTCCTCATAAGTCTGGCCATAAGAGAAAACTTAGATTTGCGGTTAATGGATGTTGTAACCGCATATCTTTATGGACCACTGGACAGTGAAATCTATATGAGATTACCAGATGGTATTGAGCTCAAAGATAAGCATGCATCTCGTGATAAACACTGCATTAGGCTGAACAAATCCTTATATGGACTGAAACAAAGCGGACGTATGTGGTATAACCGGTTAAGCGAATATCTCATCAGAGAAGGCTACGAAAACGATCCGATCAGTCCATGCATCTTCATCAGAAAATATAAAAACAAAGGATTTGTAATCATAGCAGTATACGTGGATGATTTGAACATCCTCGTAACATCTGGTGAAATCGCCCAAACAGTTGAATGCTTAAAAGCAGAGTTTGAAATGAAAGACCTAGGCAAAACTAAATTCTGTTTGGGATTACAACTTGAGTACGTCAATGACGGAATCCTTGTGCATCAATTGGCATACACTGAAAAGGTACTCAAGAGATTCAATATGGACCAGGCCCATCCATTGACCAGCCCAATGGTTGTGAGGAGCCTTGGATTGGATAGTGATCCATTCGGTCCAAAGAAGGACGATGAAGAAATCCTCGGTCCTGAAATGCCATACCTCAGTGCCATAGGAGCATTAATGTACTTGGCTAGTCACACTAGACCAGACATCTGCTTTGCCGTGAGCCTCTTAGCTCGTTTTAGTTCGTGTCCAACTCAAAGGCACTGGAACGGTATTAAGCACATCCTTAGATACCTTCAAGGTACTAAGGACTTGGGATTATTTTATTCTAACCATAACAAGGATGGTCTAGTTGGTTTTGCTGATGCAGGATATTTGTCAGATCCGCACTGTGCCCGGTCTCAAACCGGTTATGTTTTCACGCATGGAGGAACAGCCATATCTTGGAGATCCATGAAGCAGACTATTGCCGCTACCTCATCCAACCATGCGGAAATCTTGGCCATTCACGAAGCTAGTAGAGAGTGTGTTTGGTTGCGGTCCATGACTCAGCATATCTGATCAGATTGTGGTATGGACAAAGATAAGGAGCCTACGGTGATGTATGAAGACAATGCAGCTTGTATCGCTCAACTCAAGGACGGCTACATCAAAGGTGACCGGACGAAGCATATTCTGCCCAAATTCTTCTTCACTCATGAGCTACAGAAGGATGGTCAGGTCAAGGTTCAGCAAGTCCGATCAAGCGAAAATTCAGCCGATCTATTCACTAAATCATTACCGACTTCTACACTCCGGAAGCTCATTCATCAGATATGAATGCGTAGACTTAGAGATCTACGGTGATGCCTAAACCAGGGAGAGTAATGCGTGTTGTACTCTTTTTCCTTCACCATGGTTTTTCTCACTGAGTTTTCTTGGTAAGGTTTTAATGAGGCAACGTTCCCCAGCGCATTATAGAGATCCCGGTTTTGTGTCAGGCACGGTTACCTTGTCCAAGGGGGAGTGTTATAAACAAATGGACTTCTAGTAACTGGCCCATTAACCATCAGGTTAATGTCTCATGGCCCATTAGGGTTTCTGATACATTAGTTATGTAATGTATATATACACTGCTTATGGAAAATATAAGAATAGAGTTTTTTTTTTAATAAATAGTTGAATATTAACGATAAAAAAAAAGGAATAGTTGAATATCACGTTTATAGAAAAAATTGTTACACGTAGGTTGACTATTTACCAACCATTAACATAAAAAAATCTGCCCACACACGTGTATATATACCACTACCGGAATATTGAAGGATAAAATATTATGTACAGAAAAAAAAAAATGGAGATATGGTTACTCATCTTGGTCTCTCTCGCCGTATCTCTCTTTCTCCCTCTCCTCCTTCGCCGCCGTAACTCCTCCTCTCTTCCTCTACCTCCTGACCCCAACTTCTTCCCCTTAATCGGAACCCTCCAGTGGCTCCGGAGAGGCTTAGGTGGTCTCGACACCTATCTCCGCTCCGTCCACCACCGTCTCGGCCCAATCATCACCCTCCGTATCACTTCCCGTCCCGCCATCTTCGTTTCCGATCGTTCCCTTGCTCACCAAGCTCTCGTCTTAAATGGCGCCGTTTTCGCCGATCGTCCACCGCCTGCTCCAATCAGCAGGTTCATCACCAGCAATCAACACAACATCAGCTCCGGGTCTTACGGAGCCACGTGGCGGCTTCTCCGTCGAAACCTCACATCTGAGATTCTTCATCCTTCCCGTCTGAGATCTTATTCCCACGCTCGTCGTTGGGTTCTTGAGATCCTATTTGATCGGTTTCGCAATCATGAAGGCGAAGAACCGATCGTTGTTGTTCATCATCTTCACTACGCTATGTTCGCGCTTCTCGTTCTTATGTGTTTCGGTGATAAGCTTGATGAGAAACAGATCAAAGAGGTCGAATTTGTTCAGAGACGACAGCTTCTTAGCTTCTCGAGATATAATATCCTCAATCTCTGGCCTAAGTTCACTAAATTGATTTTCCGAAGTCGATGGGAAGAATTTCACAAGATGCGGAAAGAACAACGAGACGTTTTGCTTCCTCTGATTCGCGCTCGGAGGAAGATCGTCGAAGAAAGGAAGAAGAGATCGGAGGAGGAGGAAGAAGGAAACAAAGATTATGTGCAGTCGTATGTTGACACTCTGCTCGATCTAGAGCTTCCAGAGGAGAAGAGGAAGCTAAACGAAGACGAAATCGTGAGCTTATGCTCGGAGTTTCTCAACGGCGGGACTGACACAACGGCCACTGCTCTGCAATGGATCATGGCGAATCTCGTGAAAAGCCCCGAAATCCAAGAGAAATTATACAGTGAGATCAAAAGCGTTGTGGGAGAGGAAGCAAAGGAGATCGAGGAAGAAGAGGCACACAAGATGCCGTATCTAAAGGCAGTGGTTTTGGAAGGTCTTCGGAGGCATCCTCCGGGGCATTTCGTGCTCCCGCACAGTGTCACGGAAGACACTGTGTTGGGAGGGTACAAGGTACCAAAGAAAGGTACGATTAATTTCATGGTGGCGGAGATAGGGAGAGATCCAACGGTGTGGGAAGAACCAATGGCGTTTAAACCGGAGAGGTTCATCGGAGAAGAAGAACCGGTGGATATAACCGGAAGCAGAGGGATAAAGATGATGCCATTCGGAGCGGGAAGGAGGATTTGTCCCGGGATTGGGCTAGCGATGATGCATTTGGAGTACTATGTAGCGAATATGGTGAGGGAGTTTGAATGGAAAGAGGTCAAAGGCTATGAAGTTGACTTGACGGAGAAGCTTGAGTTCACCGTCGTTATGAAGCATCCGCTTAAGGCTCGTGCTGTGCCTAGGAGAAGTTAGAAAAAAGGCTAGTGTTCTGTTTCTTTAATTCGGTTTAATGTTCTGAAAGATTTGATAATAAATTTGACGCTATGTCATGTGGTACTTTGTTTGGTGGAGTCAAAATATGGAACAGTCTTTAGTAAAGTACATTCTATATGATATAAATAACGCTTTTATTTTCCTCTGACTTGGTTATAACATTCATACAAATTCTTTAAGACGAATCTATGAAGTGTTTTGTAGGGTTGGTCTAGAACAGTAGGGATTTAAGTGTATGTGGACGAGATATTCGTATGATTTGCTCACCTTGATATAAGAGCATTAGTGGACTGTAGTTTAGCTTTTAGTTTCTATTTCAGTGAAACATATAATTCTTATTTTTATATAAATTGTCTGTTTGCCACTTACTAATAAAGTCGAGAGTTTTGTGACACTGCACTCTACGTCTAGGCTAACATGTGATGGGATTGCTGTTTGCCACTCATATATATAACACTCTTTACATGTATTCATCAAATTGTAATATTCAGGAACGCATCTGATCTGATAGTCTTCTTGAGTCTTGACTTGTTGTATACAAGGCAATCTCAAGTGATAGAAAGTTGGAAACTTCAAATAAAACTTCAAGAAACTTCAAACGCATCTGATAGTCTTGACTTGTTGAATTCTAAATTTCGTAGAGTATAGAGAACACAAAATCCATATTCTAAACATCGTTTAAAATACAAAGAAGCATAATACATATTCTCAAGTACGTAGAGTATATAAGAAAAAAACATAATATGATGCTAAAATCCGTAAAGCATATAAGAAAAGCAGAAGACAGTATTCTAAATTTCATAGAACAGAAAAAATAATATTTCATTAACGTTTATAAGGTTTTTTTAAAACAGATATTTAAAAGATTTCACTGAAACTTGCTTAATAATAACTAGATTTTAACCCCGTGCGTCCGCACATGAATGTTTTATTTTTTATTTCTAATATAAGTTGCATTTATCTTTTTTGTTTAGATATAAATTATTTTTGTTATTATTTTGTTAAATCAAAAAATTGTTATTATATTTTAATTTTAAACAATAAAATTGTATATTAGTAGAATAAAAGTATACGTTAATTAAGTATACATTAATCTAATGTTAATTATAAATTTTGTTATTATGTGAATTTAGATTTACACATAAACAATCTATATATCTATGAATTTGTTAATCCATCCGTTTAGTTGTCTTAAATTATTTTTAATATTTTACATGTTTTGACAAACTAACTCGTATAAGACTATAATTATAATTGTATAACCCTATAAATATTTACTATTTGTGCTATTAATATATATATATATATATATATATATATAAACGGGCTAACCTGTTAGTTTAATTGTCTCAAATCATCTTAATATCTTAAATGTTTTAATAAATTAACTCATGGACCTTAAATATATATATATATATATATATATATATAACTCTAATCAGCTTGATTATATTATCGTATAATATA